GATTTTTTTCAGGCTTCTTCTTTCCAGTTACTTAAATTGGAAAATTAACTGCGACGATCATTCTTCACTTCCACCTATAACCGCAGTTCATATATGAAATATTTCATATAAACTTTACATGTAGATTTTTGTGGGTCATTATAACCACTCTATACTGGTTGATGCGAAAATCATGGTATCAAAAAACTGCCCAATCATTGGTGAACATGTTGCCGTCAATTTTGTGGCACAATAGGTTACCATGAAAACAATGTGACCTGCTAAAAACACTCTTAATTTTAGCTTTAAGTACTTACAACCAAAAAAATGAGCTCAGTGACTCCCATTTTTGTGACTACTGTGCTTGCGCAGCAGTCACTATTGCCATAGTCTGAGTTTTCAAAAGTAAGTACGTAACAATAGAATATACTTCGGAGCCAATCAGCACAACAAATAGCCATGTTGTGGTCTCTCGTAAAGACTTCATGTTTAACAATGTTTTGGTGATAGTCACTGATGACAAACAAAGATCTTGGCTGCCTTCTTCATTAGTATTCTTTGAAATTGAGGTGAGTTTTTTTATATTTTACAACATTTAGTTCTCACAGGTTTCACATTTTGTTTCCAACCAATCAGATAAAAGGTTGCTTGAGGATTTAGATCGAGGTAAACTGCAAATTTCTATGGTATTGAGTATTGATTTGTCGACATGTATGCAATTGTAAGTACATTGAGAATTCTAAATGCGCAATAAGAACCTTATTATTATTATTATTATTATTATTATTAGATAAACAACCCTTGCTGATACTCCATAATTTTAGGAGTACCATTAGCCTCACACAAGGAAAACTGGCCTCTTTTGGGGGAATATTAATTGTGCGAGATCTTGAATAATTGAGCCTCTTCAGAGGAATTATTGAGCTCCGATGCTTCCTAATTAAGCCTCCCGAGTGACCATGTTGTGATAATCTTGTAGTGATAAAAAAACTATCAATATGAAAGCTGAGCTGTACTTGTCAGAGACAGAAAGAACTATTTCAGAGAGCTGTAATATGTTAGATGTATTTAATGATCAAAATTCAAATGAGTCATCAACTACTGTGAACAGACTGCAGACAGAACACATTTTGCCTTCTAGAGATAGGGAACCATCCAGAATTCCTGGTGGTGGTGGTGGTAAATGTTTGTTTTAGAGATGTCTGGTGATCCTACATTTCATTGGAATGTTAGAGCTGTTAGGTGTTTGTTCAATATCTTAGAGAACATCCCACAAGGTTTATTGAAAGCAAACTGAGAATTCCAGTGTAGAAATTTGTCATAACAAGGCACAATATTATTCAAGCTCTTGCAGACAGAATCTAATTCACTCATTGCAGAAATCAAAGTAATATAGGTTACATAGATGAATTACATTATGTATCAACAGGACAATTCAACTTTGTACCAGTCACCAGCAACACAGTTTTGGTGACTAACTCTAAACTAACTCTACTCTATCAAAAGAGAATGACTCTAACAATAAGTTGACATACAACACAGCAACAAGATGATCTAAGATCGTAAGTCAGGCTGTAGCTAGATGTGCTGCTATGCCTGTTGATCATTTGAGGTGTGCAGTGGTTCTAAAAATAGCATGTGATATGTACATGCTAATAGATGCATTTGTCAAAGAAATATGAAACTGTAATCGTACTGATACATATATATTTCATCATGAAAACATTGCTTATTTGAACTGACCAATAGATGAAGGTGAAAGCCTGTGACATCACTTGTGACATCACTTATGTGTCAGGGAAGATTGGAGTGACTGTCATGTTTGGTATTCAATAACTAATCATGTAGCTTTGCTACTGAGTAACACATTACATAAAGCCCTACAGCACAGCATTGTATACAAGAGCAACTGTGTTCTTCTCTCACACTGTTCACTGCAGTTATTAACCGCACGGTCATGGGTCGAGCGCGGTTCATGTTCTACCCTTGGTTTATTTTTTTTTTTTAACCGTGCAGCCATGGGCTGAGCGTGGTTCATGTTCTACCAGTGCATCTGAACTCGAGAACAGAGTTTATCACACTAGCAATGCTAGAACGCAATGATTAAATTTGAATTGGTTTATTCAGAAAGCAAACTTAATGTTTTAGATGTAACACTCCACCTGGTCGATGGCTTTATCCAAACTGATGTTTACTCAAAACCTACTGATAGCCACTTGTATCTGACTCCG